TTGCACCGTTAAAGCAGGAACGTTCACCCAGCCGGCAAGCAGACCCATACTTCCTCCTATGGTGGTCCCTAAAGCTGATTGTCTGAAATCCTCAGAACACCATCGGTAAACGGAGGAATAGCAACAGCGGTACGTGGAGAAGGCGTTCAACTCTGCTTTTCCGCGGGTTGGTCCGGGCGCTCTTGCCTTTCCTTCGCCAGCTGGTACTCTAGTTCCCTATTCTTGAGCTCCAGGCCACAAGCTTTTTGGTGAGTTGTCTCGATGCGCTCAAACAACCACTGGTTCTGTTCCTCCAGTTCAGCATTTTCGGTTGCTTGCTTGCGTAACACGTGTTCACAATTTCGCAGCATAATAATGGCCTCGTGCTGCTGATGTTGCATTTTTGACATTTCAGCGTATATGTTCGTGATGATTCCCTCAAATCTTTGTGCTGGGTGTTGGGTGTCTGTTTCAATATCAGGTCGAATCTGGCTTTGTACTTTTGTTCCATACTAACCTCGACGGGAGTTGTGTAAGGGAAAAGGGCTTGGGCGATGCGACGCCGGTTGTCTTCTCTGTGGAGGCATTTTGATTGTTTGTGTAGTCGGATTGAAAGAATTGACAGTTCCCAATTTTCGAGCCCAATGCCTCACTTAAATATGTTCCAAAAAAAGTGCGTCAGTATTGCTGTCGTCATCGCCAAAGGAGAACCTATACTTGTTATAGCTTTACAGGCTCCTGGGATTGTGAGGACGTACTCCTGGGATCGTGAGGACGTACTCCTGGGAGTGATACGGCTCCCAGGATATGGTGTGACTGTTCCTAGGAAGCGGCCCACCTACTTCTGGGAGGTTTGCTGGTGGGGCACTCTTCAGTATGCCTGTTATACGTCCTGTGCACGATCTTTAAATTCTTAGGAGCGGTGTCTCTTCATCTGTGAGAATGATTTGACGGACCGTCTTCAAATATGTGATGAATGTGTGACAGTGGTGTCCTGCCTCCGTTTGGCATTCCTGAACCTCTATGTTGCTTAACTAGTCTGGCTTGGTTTCTTCTGCATGACCAACTTCCGATCTACAGTGTTCAACTTTAGAATAACAGTGAGAATAAAAACGCAACTTGTAAGATTCTTGTTTGCTAGAGGTCGTTAGATTGAGGAAGTCTGATCTCGATAATAACCGCGGCGACTGTTGTGCTCTATTCTATCCCTAATCAGCTTCTCTATGACATGCCTTTTGCGGGACTTGGCAATTTCAGCTGGAATTCTCAGGCTGTAGATAGGTCTCGGATCCTGGAGCAGTCGTTTTACTCCCTCGATGTTTCCTTCCCTGACTCCTATCAGCAGCGCGGTCTCACCCCAACGATTGTGCTGATTGAGGTCAATGTCAGGATGCTGCAGCAGGATGTGTAAAATATGCAAGTTTGCATTGCGAATAGCAACGGAAATTGCAGTCTCCTCATCAATTCTGCTCAGCTGGTTGATCTTTAGTCGGCTACCTTGTGCCACTAACAGCTTCACAGCATCCACATTACCGTTTTCAGTGGCTAGGCAGAGTGGTGCATCTCCACCTGAATGTTGAGCATTGATTTGGATATCTTTGTGGGTGAGAAGCAATCTTAGCACTGCAGTGTGACCCTCTCTTATAGCCAGACAGAGAGGGGATTGGAAACTCGCGCAGATGTTGGGATCAAGCGACGGCACTGCGAGAAGCCACCGCAAAACAACTGTATCCAATCTTCTCACCGCGTGATGGAGGGAAGTAGAAGGTCTGTCGTATCTTCCGCCCCCTCCAACCACATTGACGTCCACGTCATCCTCGCTCAGAAGCCTCTTCGTGACGTCGTCGTGATGTCTTGAGGTTGCCCACCATAGTGGAGTATTACCATGGATATCCTGGCAATTCAGGAAAGCATTCGTTCGGCGCAGCAGCAGATCTACCACTGCGAGATGTCCACTCATTGCAGCCGCGTGGAGCGGGGTCCTGTTTCGTTGGTCTAACGCACCAGGATCAATGGACTTTTGGCAGAGGAGTGACTCAACGGCCAAGAAATCTCCATGAGCAGCTGCAAGATGCAAGGCGGTTCTTCCTTGGTGATCCACTGCAACAACATTCTCTCCCCCGAGCTGCACTCGCAAAGCGCCAGGGTCATCGTTGTTTGCAGCATCCCTGATCATTTCTGCATTGCCGGTACACGTCTCGCTTTTCAATTTGGGGCCGATATTATTCCAATGATCTAGGAATAAATCCTTGATAACATTTTTATTCTTGATACAGGCCTCGATCCACGGCGATATACCATCCTGATCCGCCGCATTGGGGTTGGCACCTTTTGAGAGCAACAAGGCCACAAGCTCTCTGTTTTGATGAAAGACAGCAAGCCAGAGCACAGTTTGGCGCTCAGAATGCGAAAGATTAATCTCGATTTCAGGGTGTTCGAGGAGCCTCTTCACGACAGCCGATGTCTTTTTCTCCACGCTATACCACAGAGCACTTTTTCCAGCCTTGTTCCTCAGGTTGACGTTTGTCGTTTGATTTTTCAGGAAAAGCTTGAACGTCGATCTGGACCCACATTGAACAGCAGTCATCAAAGGGGAACAATCATTGACCAATGCGTTCACGTTGGCTCGGTAAGAGAGCAAGGTCTTGGCAAATTTGGTATCGTTGGTTTTAGCGGTCCAGTGAAGTGCAGAACTATTCTGATGTCTGACGTTGTATTTTATCAGGGCCAGCCGTAACTTGGGATAGAGCGTTCGGCTGGTTCGAGCAAGAGCAGAAATTTCGTGTCCCTTTAGGGTGTCGGCTACTTCCCAAAGAATCTCGGTTGGCAATTCCAATAGAATGGCCTGTAACTCACTGTTAGCCTTTTAGGTGTCTTGTTCAAAGAAATAGGGGTCTATTTCTTGGATGTAGCTCGTGTCATACCATGATTGCTGGCGATCAGCTCAAGTCTATAGCGAGAAGCGGTCGCTGGTTTGAAGGAGGTTCGCTTTGAGACAGGCGAGCGCAATGCAGGCAATGATAATTCAGCAGATGGGGTGTAGAGGCGGCTTTATATGCTTCTTCCTTTCATGTATAAACAATCACATATGGCATGTGTCGCCAATTCTGAGGACTATTTGAATGACATTTGGCTCCACTCCTCGCGCCCACTGCTGATAGGAGGCACCCAATAGCATACCGGGGCAGCAAGACCCGAAACATCCATTGTGGCTTCTTATAGGCCAAGGTAGGAGGTGTCGTGGTAGTTTTACCGGCATTTAGCTCCTAGGGCCCATCTATGTGTTCCCGGGAGTTCAGGAGCTCCTGGGAATCCCTGGGCCGCTCCTGGGCCACTCGATTAGTCGGGGTGACTCGCGACGAATAGAGAGCAAATCACAAGCATTTGAAGCCTCTATTGCTTACATGTTGTGAATGAGATGGCTGCATGATGTCAAGATCTACAGCTTGTGCAACAGAGGCTATCTAGTAGACACCGCAACTGCTATCTAGAGCGTAATTCCAATCCAGAATTCCCTTCCTACTGAGCCAGTGACCACAAGTCAGTCATTGAGTTATGCACATCTCAACTCAAGTGGAAGCGCCTCTGGCCACCGTCCTGCTTCTTGCCAGCTTCGCACTTTTCGTGCTCTCTCGTCGAGCAGTCCAGAAAAGCCGATTGCACCTGACACTCGATCTCGCCGTTTCTGCACCGAACCTTGTTCTGCTAGCAGTACACATGGGCTTGAGCTGGAGCAAAACGTGTGAAACTGGGAGAGAGGTAATGATTGGCGTGTCCAGTCTATTCCCCTTTTTACTTGTGGTACGTACCATCATGCCGTGAGTCGGTTGCACGTTAACCGTCAACGGCAGTATCTCCGAATAAGCGTTTTTCTACGGAGCCTGCTTAGTGCACCGTTTCAGTTGGTGATCTGCTTTCCACTTTATACGCTTTTCTCGTGCTTGATCAAGATTATGGCCACGACACTGGGTACTTACATTTATCCTCCTCTACGAATCGTCGTGCTCTTCTCTCTTTTCTTGGATTACCTGGGCTTGGTTTCTTTCTTGTGGTGGCTAGATGGACATACAACTGCCAATTCCCGAACGCGATCACAACTGCATTGCGCTTTGCATTGCATGATTGGAGTGGCAGTCGTTCTTCTTCTAATTGCAGTCTTGGGGGCCGTTTTATCCTGTTGGCTGCTAGCGCTAGAGGTAAATCCTGGCTTGACCCAATCAACACCATTATTTGCAGACTGATCTGACATCTCCAGCTTCAAATATTGATCGTCACTGTTTGGATGATTCCATCGTATTTCGCCGTACAAAACGCTGGAGCCTCAGTCGGTGAGCGATTGACTTTTGCAACATCCGAGGCTACCAACAAATCCACGGCACACACGATCAAAGACTTTATTGGTAGGCTATCACAAGATTGCTATCGTCGCGCATTTAATTGCCAAGAAGTCAGCCCCGCGGCTCCAGGACAAGTTTGATCCATTCCGCGCAAACATCAACATCTGGGAAACTCATCTTCCGGCAAAATGGCCAATTCACCGACCGACCGCTCGCTCCAAACTTTAAGCACACCGATGAGCTTTCCGCGGACATCATCCAATGCGTCGTCGATAGCATGCAAGCGAGCAACCTGATCATCGTGGCGGTGCTTCAAGTGGTTCCCTTCGTTGCACAGCTGAATATTTCCAGTCCGCAGCTTTTCGTTTGTCGCTTCAATTTGCTGACTATCTATGTGCTTGGAGACACAAGACTCCCACAAGCGCCGATAAAGCCCTACCAGACGTGCAGCCTGGAATGCAAGCTTGGGGTCTTCTTCTTCAAGCTGCTTCAAGATTTCGAGCACGGGCTGAAAGGGCTCCACGGCCAATTTATCCTTCTCGATGTCGCTCTGGGAGTAGCAGGTTAGCGGTGTTCTCTATGACCGTGTACTCCTCTTACCGGCTGTTGGACTTTATGGCTGGGCATCGGAGCATCCTCGGTCCAGTTTATCTGTGTGCACGGCGCTGCTTCTCCATGTCCGTCTGCCATCTCTGGTGATTTGCTGGGATTCTCCATTGCTAAAATTTTCGATGAAAGATGCTGCTAGATATTCATCCCGTGGATAAACGTCTTTTATACTGTGAATGACTTACTCTGTTGGAGAAGATGGGAACTAGACAAGGCCCATCAAATACTGCCCGTGTATTTTTAGCAGACCCTCAACTATATGCGCCTGTCCAGCTTGAAACGTTCGCTCCATGTAAATCCGACCAGCGTAAAATGCCCTCAGAAACTTGGTAATGTCCTTTGATATTAGGACCATTCACAGGTCGCATTTTCTGCTCAATGGAATCTCCATTATCAGCATAAGTTTGCACCGATGCTCACCCCTGGGCTGTGGGCTTATCTAGGTAGCCCACTTTCTGTTATGTACATATAATTACGGCTCTATTGTAATGTCATAAAGACCCATAGAGGTATTTTCTATGGCAGCTAGCTTTTTGAGAGGGTATCCCATTCAGCATCGAATCTGGATTACTCTACCTTGTTTGGTGTAGATTGATGGCTGTAGAAGCATGCATCGCAATAGCTCGATTTATTCATAGCACCTAATTAACTTATTGTACTGTACGGGATGGATCGAAATCAGTTTCACCACTTGCACACGGAGATTCTTTCTCGAACCCTCTTTCAAAACACGCTATGCCTATTATAGTTACTCTATCCCTGACCCCGTTTCTTGGCAGTATTCCAATACAATTGTAAAAAATACACTTGGATTCGAAATTGGCTTCCATATTCAACAGGCACAGTATCTCAAACCCTGACACTGGGACCATGGTGAAACTACTTGGTCATTTAGCTAGCTTACAGAACTTCCTTCGTGTCACTTCAATACTATAAAGTATCTCACAAGGCTTATGCACTACGTTTCCTGTATCATTTGATTAATTAGTATTTCTTTCTGCCAATTTTGCCTTGGCCGCCTAGGCGCCTTCCTAGGAACCCCTTAAAGGTCTGCCAAGACAGATGCCTATAGGAGCAAAAATATTCTGCCATTTATTTCCGTCTTCTCGGACACATAAACCACCACCTGTTCCCCATAGGCTCTATTCTACCATCCTCGCATCAATTTCGACTTGCCATAGTGCACGGTACAATAACACGACATGGTGGGAAGACAAGTATCAATGATAAAACAAGATTACGGTGAAACCGGCCAATCATTAATTGATGAAATAACGGATACATTGCGTACTCGCAACGCAGCGTCGTTACTCTACATTGCCGAACAAGAATGCTTTCAGATCACTGGCTTCTCTGAAACACAGCGAGGAAAATGCGTTGAGATACTCTCTCGAGTGCAATCTAGTGCTTACCACTTAAGAATCAACGAAGAAACCGACCAAGACATCATACGTTTTCAACTCATCCCTATTTCAAGGAAGAGTGACCTTGACCGGACAGCGTACGATTTTGCTCGATCCGGGCAAAATTTTATCCAAGGGCAGCTCGACTCCCGAAGCCGGAGTGCCATCCGAACACGATTGGAGAGACTGCGAAAAGAGCGACAGCTATCACCTCGAAACCTTTGATCATCTTCGTCTCGTCATATCTACGACAACGAGGGCGCAACCTACCTTACAGCAATGTGGCTAGCGCTCACAAAACGATAACGGTAGATATCTCGCACGACGCCGGATGCTCCGAAAATATACCCCAACTCTCGCGCTTGCACCGACGTTATTTGTGGAGATCCGCCGGACTTTTTTACGCTCTCCGCATGTGATCAAAAGAAGGCATTTTAGTTCTACATATGGCACTGAATTTCTCGCCGCGGATTCCTCCATGCAATTAGCCATTCCGATCCAAAGTTTTGGGTTTCTCGTCTTTTGCGTACCCCGCCCTCGCTGTTCTATCTCGGCTCATTGAATGTATCAGTGATTGTTCAATAAGGATTTCTTGTCTCCTCTGTGTCATGCCAATCGAATGTATTATATTCAAATGAAATCTAATTCCTGGTGATTGACTAGTTCCGGCGTCTTGCCAATCAAACTGATTGGTGATATAGATGACGTAAGCTAGATTAGGTCACATGACCTTAGTAAGCACATAGAATAACCCCGCTCTCAGAGATAGAATAATGGACTGACAGATGATTATAGTTACTCGACTGGATATCCCTTGGTCCAACTTCACCGCCCTGATTACGTGCTCCGACATGACCACCATAGCACGTGATAACGCCTTTCAATACGATTCAATACTTGAGATGGAGCTAAGTCGGAAATGAATTAGTGTCTTTCGCACTAGGGTTCGAGATAGATTTTATGAGTGCAAAGTGGTGAAACTAATTTCGATCCATCCTGTATACGAAGGCTTGACTCCTTGGGAATTGCTTCTATCAACTAGATTGAAGCTCTGCTAGCCTTGTTGGTCCGTCTCACAGTACCCGCTGGCATGCTCGGTGAGGCATGGGTCGCAGGCGTCGCATCCAGTCCTGTCGAACTTCTTCCTGGGCAATGCATCTCTCGTATTGTATCTCTTCTTTCAATTTCTCATGTGTATCAACGCCCATGATAGGTTCCCACCACGTTGCCGGTCTCAAGCATCTCTGCTGAAGCCGCCGTCCAAGCATGGCCTGTGCTCGCTTGAGAGGAGGTTGAAATGGGTTGTTGGCTGCCTTGGACTTCTTTGGTAGCCGCGAGTTGGGGCGATGGCCAAGCAACTGCATGGTGTCGGATGCATCTTGCGCACAACGCATAGACCGAAGGGAGCTCTTGTCAACCATTACGCCGAATAAAATGAAACAAGTTATGAAGCCTTGACTGGATAAACCCGGACTATTTATTTCCTCATCTCATTGCAATCCCTTTAGATTCCCTTCCCAAATGCGAATTACTGGGAATGACTCCAACTCTTTTTTCATATCTCCTGGTCATCACTTTGTCGCATCCTCAATTAGTAAGTTTAGAAGTAAATGTACAGTAGCAGGTGTAAGCGGCATACTTTTATGGCGTGAGGCAGTTGACTGTGCACTTTTCCCGACTTTGATGAGTCTCTCTGGACACATCTGCTTTTCCCATCCCGCATATACATGAGACAACAAAATGGAAGGTTGCAGTCTCGGAGAATTATGGCTGAGTGATTCGCTAACCTACGTTGACTCGGCCAGCGAACGCCATCATTGCCACTGACGATTTTCAATCTTGAGGCCAAATAAGGCCGAGGGGAGTAGGTCGGATACCAATTTCGTTGAGATGCAGTAATAAGATGTTTTGGGATGTACACATTCTGTCCGTTACAAGGAAGCAGTTAGAAAGGTGATAAACGATTTATTCAAGAACTGCTACTACGAATCCTGATCCTCCAGCGGTATTTTCGACTAGATAAACTTTTAGGTGGTATCATGCCTTGACTTCTGGTCCGTTTGGAGTTTACAACTTTCCTCTTTCTTTGTCTCGGGTGTTCAACTGAGGAGGGTTCAACTGAGGAGTGTTCAACTGAGGAGGGTTCAACTGAGGAGGGTTCAACTGAGGAGGGTTCAACTGAGGAGTGTTCAACTGAGGAGTGTTCAACTGAGGAGTGTTCAACTGAGGAGTGGTTGATTGAGGGAGTGGTTGATTGAGGGAGTGGTTGATTGAGGGAGTGGTTGATTGAGGGAGTGGTTGATTGAGGGAGTGGTTGATTGAGGGAATGGTTGATTGAGGGAGTGGTTGATTGAGGGAATGGTCAATTGGAAAAGATAGACTAGCGATGACTGGACTATACCGCCTGCTGCACTTCTCACGTGGAAGAAGATATAAAAGGGCCTTTCTACATACAGTATCCTGGACCATATCTTGTTCTATTCATATCATATAATTCACCCGAACATAGAAAGCATGCGCCTCAAACTATCTCTCGTCCTTGGAATAGCCACGTCGGCGTCTGCTCTGTGCTCAGTTACCTACTACACCGCAAGCGATTGTTCAGGCGCGGGAAAGGAGATTGGAGGTTTCGAAGCCGGGTGTCAGACTCTGGAAGCCGGTACGAAATCGGTAATGGTCTCTACCGACAGTGGCAACAACATCACCTTGAGCACGGGCATCAACTGCAGCTCTCCTTACCAAGATCCGATTCCGAGCGAAGTAACCGGCCGCTGTGTCAATGCCGCTCTCCGTTCCTTCCTATCTTATTGATCGTAAGTGATTTTCTTTGTGCTGCTTTTTTGGTTCTCAATCTGCAAACTGACACGTTTAAGGGGTTGGTAATGGTTAAACGTGGGGTCAAGAGGAGCTTCCGGAATGTTGGTCATCGAGGCTCCGTTGTTTTGTTTCCAATCATTTTGACGACGAGATGTTCGCAGTTATCTCCACCGGAGGAGCCAAGCAGATAATTACTCGGAAACAGTCCAAAGGACCCCAATCCTTCACCGGACAGTTCGATCACGTATGACCAAAAGTTCGCCACTGGAGAAACTGTATTTTTGAAATCTGTACGTCTGCTTTGCTTTCTTGTCTACTCTTTATGGATCCACCTGCCCATGAATGCTCTCTCGAGAGCGAAGATTACTCGCCGAGCGATGCGGAGCAAGAAGCGAGCGACCAACTCGGACGCGAATTGCAAGCGAACGAGACCTACAAGGATAGCCCAAGGTCGGAGCACTGCAGTCGCATCGCCCATGGTGTTGGGGTTCGAACAGATGCCAGACATGCCCGACCAGCCGCTGAAACGGCCGAAGCGAAAGTAGATACTGTCTGCAACGACAAGCGGGGCTGAATTTCCGCGAGTTCCCGCCGATTGTTTGGTGAAGGTTTCTAGCGAACTCATGGCGACCACTTCAATACTGCTGAGACTTGACCTGGTGAGGAATTTCAACGTTCGGTCTTCGGTCACCCGATGGCCCCACAGGGATGAACGTGCATGACCGGTCAAATGGCAACCGTCGAACACAAAGTCCTTAGTACATTGACTAGGACTCTTCCCGCATGGGTTGAATATGTCTCAAAATAAAAGAAGTTGCGGCTTTCTTTGACAGACCAAACAAAATCATGGTCCTCAGCAGCAATGAGAAGCGCGCATTCTTCAGACAACAGTGCCGCGAGGCATTGGCAGCCCATATCCGTAGGTCACTATAGTCCCTCCGCCTGGTGAGAGAAACTCATCCTCCTCAGATGACCGACTCGGCCTTGTCGTTGCTCCCAGCCAAGTCCGTCTACAGCCATCTGCCGGGGATGGATACGCTTGGTCGGTGACGGAATCCAAGAAGAGTTTATTGCAGTTGAACTTGGGCAGTGGAAGTGTCGGTTTGTATCGGTCTATTTGCGAAGAATTGGGTCGGTCGCTCGAGGCAGTTGCTCCGCAGACGCTGCAGGTTGCCCAATCCGAACGGGGCCACCTGGCAAAAGAGGAGGTGAGTGTTTCGATCCGTCAAGCCGCCTCTAGGGGTCTGCACAGCGCTGATGATATAAGACACGGCTGGCCCGGAGCGACGAAGTAGGAAGTGGTTCATTTACGGCAAAAATCCGCGAGTTGGAATGCGCCAACTGTGAGATGAGCGGCGAGCTTGACCGCACCCGCATGCATCTGAAGGACTCCCTCAGTGAAAGAAACGAGATGCAGGCGGAAATACTTCGGCTGCAGGACGAACTTGGCGGTGTATCATCTCGAGCCGGTCACCTGGAAGACGAGCTGGTTCGTGTCACGAGGGGAATAAGGGAGGCAATGCGGGTGTTGCAAGTCCATCAAACGCAGGAGGGAAGCGCATCAGAGCCTGGAGAGAGACAGGATGTGTCTGTTGACAGCGTGGATGGCACGGTGCTGGAAACACCGCCGTTTCTGATACGCGCCGACGCGTCTTGACCTCGCATTGCGATTGGTGCTAGGGCGACTGTAGAGATGTTTTGTGATTGGTCTGACCTTGTCTAATATCCAGTCGTGTGCTAGTCGCGATTACAGAAGGATGCGAAAGCCAGTCAAAGTGTGTCTTCATATTCGCCCACGTGCGCATGTTGTATTTTGCTCTGGGTTTGATTCTATCTCTTATCGTGGGGTGGAGCTCTGGCCAATGGGGTGTGCCTCAAGTTGAACCCCCGTAATAGGAAATATGATTTCTATCCATCACAACACGTTCATAGAAATGTCAATGACGCGTTTTTACCTTTAAGATTTTCCATGTTTACTTCCAGGGGCCGCAAAGGGGGATTTGGGGCGCGATTGGCCCGGTCGGACTGTATTTGGCCCCATTTTAGATCATAGCTTGAAACGTCAAGGCATGTGGCTCGATTATATATATATTCTCAGCTCACATGTTAGAACCTGTGGTATCTGTTGCAGCGCCAACCAAGCCCCAAACCTGCACGAGACATTCAATATGGTTCTATCCAGTCATTACAACACCAATCAAACGTTGTTCTTGACAATCAACAATTTTGTTTTGTAAACCTGGTGCTCGAAGCTCAAAATAACGACATCGGACATTCTACCTCGCGCATACTATGTCTAACACAAGACAAATCCCAACCGCCAAATAGAGACAAAATAGAGCATACGTTATAGTACACATTTTCACTTGGTATCCCTACAAACGAAGACTTTCACATTCCCAAAAATCAATACCTTTCAATCGCCTCTCCTAGGCTGTTAACAGAATCAAAACCACCCACATCTTGCGCAGAAGCGCAGTCATATGCGCTTGAATGACTCCAGATTGTGATAAGCAGTCTTGTTGGCCGCGTTCACCAGCATCTTCAGTTCGCCCTCATCGAATTGCCGAAAGAAATTGCTCTGATTGGTCAGCGTTTTGCGGAGTAGGCTGGGGCGGTCAAGACTCACGCGTAACAGCTCTGCCGGTGAACTGCACCTTTTGAGGTCTTCAGGTAGACTCCTTGCTTCGGCACTCCATGGATACTGTGGCGGGTTCTTCATGATCAGCCTTTGCACAACCTCAGCCAAAGCGAACAGCTTCAGCGTGGCCGCGTCCATCTCGGCTGCATCGATCTGGCAACTGAGCTCCATTCCCGCTGCAACATAGACTGCCGTCAGTACTTCATGCACGTGCGGCCAACCAGTTACGTTCAGGATTCCCACTCACCGATCTTGACTTCGCCAGACTCTGTGAGTAACATGGTGTCCGCGCTCAAGGCAGCGAGTGCTCTTCCGCGACCGCGCAGATACTGAATACCTTCTAGGACCTATTATACATGAGCATCACTCGCTTTCTCTTGTCGAACACCGGGACAGGCACTTACCGGCCGAACAATTGCGGCAATTTCCGCTTCAGTGATAGTACACCTCGATGCGAGGATGTGACTCACCGAGAGCTCTACTGGCTCCCATACCAAAAAAACCTGATCTTCCCAACAGTAGCACCCCAGCAGACCCAGAAAACTGGGATGAGAGAAACGACAAATAGTCTCGAGCAGTGGCTTGACTGACGGGAACGGCTGCTTCACAAGGTGAATATTAACGAGCGCCGCTTTGCTTTCTCTGTGCCGGCCAAGAAAGACGGACTGTCCTTGAGAAACCACCACGATCGCCTCGTACGTCAGCCATGGATTCTGGAAGAGCGGTGCAATCTGCCAAGCTTGATCCTGATATTGTGGCTGCGCTGGATCGGGATGAGTCGAAGCAGAAGGGACTGTCGCTGAATCAGACTGGAATCTGGAAGACGGCGCAGAAGGATGAGTGGCTTTTTCGAAAGTGGCCCAATCGGGTGTTCCACCCCAAACGGTAGAAGGTCGAGAAGGCTCACGCTGAATGGAACCCATTCTATAAGGAGCGTGTGGAGCGTCAGGAGATAGCCTTAGTCCAACAGTACCTGAGCGACGACGAACTGTTTTATAGTGGGCAACATGATAGTTAAAACGAACGAAGCATCCAGGTCATCAATCAGTGAGGCCGCGGATACCTATGGCTGTGGTTGCAATGTTACGGAACTAACCATACTGACCCACCAAGGACACAGGCTGTTTGTCCGAACGGTTGTTCAGCACATTCAAATTCCAGGCTGCATAGAAATTGAACGCAGTTCTTATTTGCGGGCGGTGCTTGTGCAATCGCGATCCAATGCTTGGCCACTGATGAGGAAGACTACGACTTGGTTCTATCCAGTCACCATGCTATAGTTGGCGCTCGTTCCGTAGGGTCAATAAATCCGCCTTAATGTTGACCGCCCAATCTTCATTTGTTTACTAAAAGATGCTCTTCCTATGGCCGAAAGCGGTCGGGAACCCGTCTCGATCGAGCTGATCGACGAGACAATGATGGGCTTGAAGCGCCAGAGACCGGAGAACGGTTTGACCGCCGGGCAAGTGGAGGCGACCCACGCTGCGAGGATGCCGTTGGGGCGGTCGGCCCTCCTACTCGTGTGCCTGTGTCTTCGGGGCATTCTTCTATGTTCGACTCGCTAGTGGCATTCCCAGCCAATGAAGAGGAAAGGAGAGCAGTGAAAGACCCGTTGCATCGACTATGCTTGTGTTAGTGAACAGACCAAAAGAACGGAGGGTAATGGGTTACTTACTGTATCGGGCAGGAAGTACGATTCCGGGGTAATCGATGGGCAAGCCAGCCCTCCATGCATTTCAAATGAACCACCCCCTTACATGTATCGCATTGCAGTATGATGGGGCTATCGCTGACTTCCTCAAAGCAAATTGGACACATCTCACTATCTGGACAGGACCCTTGGCGGAATGCGTGGAGCTGAATAGAGCGCACTCTGCCATATTCATTCCTGACGGAGAGGATGGCCGGGTCATCAGGTGAAACGTCCCAGCGGACCCCATTCGTCGTGAGCATATGAACTGTGACCTCCCGACCAGAAGGCTGAGATGAACCCATCCTTGTGGGCGTAGTAAACTCAGGGTAGTCAATCTCATCAAACTCCAACATCAAATCATAAAGCGCTTCTGTCTCGAAAGACCTTTGTAACCTTTGTTGCGAGTCACTGACTTCCGCTGTAGATGGTGAGAAGCCGCGGTGTGAAGATGTCTGCGCCTGGGTCTGGTTACGCACCGCTGCGTCGAACCACCGCTGTTTGACATCGCTCTGCTGACGGCTTCGATGCCACTTCTTGCAGAGGAAAAAGGAGACAATGCCATTCAGTTGAGAGTCGAGTGTTGAAAGGTCGAATGGGCTCCGCGCAAGGTTGCTCAACCTTTGCCGACCCTCTTTCAGGGTCTCTTTTTTCACAACGAGCTTACAGGCATCTCCTTTTTTGGTAATACCGCAACATGTCTTTTCTTCCTGGAGCGGCCCCATCTGGCAGACGAACAAGGGGTCCCAAAGCCACTGAGGGTCTGACATTCTGGACTAGGAGCGAGTGAAGGAGGAAAAAGACACGTTCAAGCTGTTCAGAGAATCTTGACGTGCAATAGTGGCATAGTGATTGAAAAGAATGCCGGTTTGAAGGTTTAGTTGAGCTTTTATAGTAATCATATATTCGCTTGATCATGTGTAGGGCCATAACAGACACGCGGGGTCAAAATTAGCCAGAGCTACTGATTCCCAGGACGGGTGATTGCGCTCCTGGGAACGCAAGGGCTCCTAGGAACCAGAGCAGAGATCCTGGGAGTCACCCAGCGCGTCCTGGGAGCTAAGATAATCTGCACCTGCAGCAATCACCCTAAGGGATCCTCAAAGCCGCCTAAGAAAGACGTTTGGACTATCTGAATAGGTCACTCAAGGGGCTCCACTATGTTCTTAATGCACTTTAAAAAGGCAGAGCAGTGGTCTTTATACCTGGAAGCACATATCTTTGCCACTTGCTCTGTCCCAAAGCAAACCCCTTTCAAGCTGAGCCACAATCGTCATTATGTCTACAGCAGACCCCTTTGCCTCCGCTGTCACAATGTTACGCCACCCTGAATCTTTACAATCACTATTCGGTCGAGTGATCGGCGACCCTGTCCACCGCTTGGAATGTATATGGGCCACAGATGATGGAGGCCGTTGTCGGAATACAGTGCCAAAAATTTCCCGCATCAATGGAGCGCTGTGCCTCGGGATGTTTCATGAGTTCCCTGTCAGTCATTCACATGAAATGAGGCTTTCTATGGCAGCAAGGTACATGCTGTGTGCAGAATGCAGCCGCCATTCATCCAGATCAAGGGACTGCGCCCAACGATGGATGAAGCTTTTACACGCTCGAGCCAACCGAGTTGACCAAACCACACAAATCGAACAAGATGGGCACAGCTCTGTTCTACCGGGAGATCACTGGCCAAGCAGCATGTCATACGACGCTGGTACACCCAGTTTCATTCTATCAGCACCTCCATTCTACCATCCAGTGTATGGAAAGGCCTCATAAGCGACCAACAGCGATAGCGCTACCAGAGAGACCTCGTTCGGCCCGACAGAATTGCCTTGCTGTATCCCTCAACCATCACCGCTTGATCATCCAATAAACGAAATATCAAATATCCTCCCTCACTGCCAACAAGGCCACCCTGTTGGTCAAGGATCCTGCGTTGCAGCAACGGCAGTCTGCTTGCTTGCCAACCGATGGCACTAGAATGTCCAACCTTCCAGGGTTAGCCTCCCCTGTACTTGCGTTAGCATAGATCTTAAGTAATAACACAAAAGGTGATATTTTAGTCAAAAGGCATACCAAGCATGGAGCCGCTCAACTCTTGGGATTCGTGCCCTGGTAACAGCTCTGGCGATGGAGCTGCTGATCGCCGATTGCGGTCCCATTCGAATGCAGGTTCGAGGACATTAGAACTGAGCTTGGTATGGATACTGGTTGTGGTACTTTTAGGAGGATCTTCCTCCAACACACATTGAAGCTCCTGCGTAAGCTTTTGAGCTCGACGAAAAGTCAGCGGAGCCTTCATCATAAACCAAATTGAAACGAAAGAATGGAGTTTGAGAAGGATAGACCCTGGAATAAGAAAGATGCACGTATTTAATCCAGAATACACAAGTATAGAGACCATCCTGTTCAAATCGCCACCATGACAGGGCAAATCGTATGTACATCATAACCGTCGGTCAAAGCAGAATTGCTCTGGCCGAGCTAGCACAAGTCAAAGGAAAGCACACGCTCAACCGCTGAGCCATGGCTTAGCTGCTCTGTTCCGCGGCCTTTGCGCTATCAATTTCGGAGTCACTTCCAGAATCTCCACCGCTGGCCCCTGGCTCCTTGATTTCCATTTGCTTCAATAACACGTCCAGCATTACCTTCGTTGACTCCGGCTCTTGGTCGGGTTCCTTAGAGCCACGCTCCTTCAATAAGTAATCTATAACGCTTCCCATCATTTGGCTGAGATCAAAGAAAATATCCGCCAGTTTGGATACGTGGTCTCTTTCCTCGTTTGCAACCTTCAGAGTTGTCTGTGCAGCCTCGAGGGTTTGCTCGAGCTTGCACTGGGCTCTCTCCGCCCGGACTGCCCGAGTGTCGAGCCTCGCGAGGATACGAAGATATTCCTATTCTGGGGTTAGATGGCGCTTCGGGGGAATCTTGTGAGCCTACCGAGGAGTCCATTTTGGAGATAAGGCCACAGAAGAGGCCTGATAGTCTCAGCGATAAGCAGCAGGGAGCTTGGAGGAAGCAGCAGTCCGAACTTCTTTGCGCAACAAAAGGCAAGAGAAGCTGTTATGCTGATATTTATGGCTCTATGTCCACTGTTGACCTTTAAGTAAAATTTTCTGAAGTAACCTCGAGCATCCTCCGGTCCCCAATGACCTTCACATTCTGCGGTTGAGCTGTCTGTTCGAGATCTGTCCTGACCTCACGAGGTTGCGAGTGAATGAAAATTGCATCCACACCGGCCCTCCACAATGACGCAATCTGTTGGAATCTGCCACTATAGTCGCGAGCCTGACCACGTAGAACCTCTTGCGGATGAAGCATATGACCCGGTTGTAGTTCTGGTTACTTCCAACCAGGGCTCCACACCAGCTTCCTGAGAATGTTCATCGCAAACTGCGACATTGCTCCGCATTCATCTTCGGCATCGGACTAGGAAAGATTTGGCGATCAACACTGATACAGGAGGGAGACACTCGAGCTTACCGTTGTATAGTTGACGTCCGCCCTTTGTTGACCGGCAGCCTCAGGCAGAGATCTTAACCGATATTGAAGCGGAGCCTTTGAGACATTTAGTACAGATTGAAGCCTCTGCAGCCATGCCAGCTTACCAGCAGGAATTGACTGTCTGGTTGGAGCGTGAATAGAGGCCTTTATTGGCCGGGGAAAGAGACAAGGAAATTCAAAAGCGCCCTCCCTCGAGGGAAAGTCAACCGAGCAACCGTATTGCATGTGCGGCTTGCATCTTCCCGTCCCAGATCAGAAGGAATTATGCGACAGGTACTTTGTCACTTCAGTCTGGATTTCTGGTTGAGTGGCGGCACTATTGAATCGCAATCTAATGTGAAGGTGGGGTAACCTATGAGATCTCACGAATCAAAAACAGAACCTTCAGGCCCACCCCGAATCCGATCCGCTGATCTGCAAAAGTTGTCTAACCATCTTGAGCATGAATCAGCGCCTGATCCGCTGCTGTGCATTTCCTGTAGACCTACACCATTCTCGATACATTATCAGATCGTAGTATATTGTTAGAATATAAAGATGTGCTATAGGCCCGCCTAAGAAAGCCTCGAGACCGACGAACCTACCACCCACTCCAGTGGAACTAAACCGGGAGGGGTCTAAGTCAAGCATAGCTGCCGTTTTAAGTGCTAGACAATCTAGAAAGACAAAATAGCACTATTCTGTTTACGTTCAAACAGTGTTCTAGGCCCCCGCGGCTCAATTCCCCCCCAAGAAAGCTAAAATCATAGCCCTCTGGTAAGACAAGTGCATCCTCCACTACGTACATCATTTGCCATTTGGAAATTAGTGCGGATGATCCATATATGCGGGAAGAGAGTCTACAATATTAGGCGAGATTGCAGAGGCCAGGCAAGTTTTGCCCGTCCGAACGACTACGGGGTCAGTAACCTAGAGGCGTCGTTATGCGGTATGCTGTGAAGACTCCTTGCCTTGATATACAAAGTGCTACCTTTTCTCGCACGGTACAAGGCATGACCGGCGGTGAAACAAGCAATACAACTCGAGAAATTCACCGGTCAAGTACCGGCACGCAGAAATCACGGAGTGAAAATGCAGAGGGTGGTCAACGACCGACCTCAGAATGTAACCGTATCCTTGATATGACCGGGATGATCGCTATCGTAGACACTTTCTCAAACTCAACCGGTCAGTGGGCTTGATCACCGGGCTTTCCCACCTCAAAATGTTGCGGCCCCCATCAACTCGTGGTCGGCCAGCTGATTTTGCCCTGGTATTGCTCCTCTCCAGACACCGGAAACCTTTAAAAGCTCGCGGTTTCCACCCGAACCGGTCATTCGCGGACAAAAGTCATTTCCTCCTGCGCAGCTATCCATTCGACATCCGCCCTTCACTCTCAATATGCCCTCCCGCAGATCGGCAGCCCAAGTGCTCGCCAGCTCTGGTCAAGATGATTTTGAATCGGGCGTTGCTCCTGGACGCAATCAGCACTCAACTGTCGCGGGCCCTGATACCGGCCCTCTGCCTGGCCCCCAAGGCGCAAATATGCAGCGAGCCTTGGTAGGTCTCCCCTCCCCGTCTCACAAAAGCCAATGCACTCAAACTAAATAGGGAATCCAGTCTGCCTCCCCGATTGTCAAGGCTCAGAAAAAACATTGGACAGCTGTTCATCGGAAATGCTTGCATCTTTTCAAAGAGGCCGATAGAGAGCAAGAGGAATCTGCGCGTACCTTGGAGCAATTGGAGACCGACAAAGCCCAAGCCGCCGAGCACATCTGTCAGCTGAGTGACGAGAAAAATAAGAACATTGCCAAAATACAGAAACTTGAGATGCAGATCTTGAATTTGAAACAACAGCTCGAGGCCGCGCCATCTAATGGCATGTGGGGTGATGATGGGATGTACACTCTAATGCATCTCGGCACCACCGTCAATATTTTGAAAACAGACATCGACAAGGAAGTTGAAGCGCGGAGGAACAAAAGATTAGCTGCTGGCATGCCTGATTCTGATGTGCTACAAGCAAATTGGTCCGTTCAGAATGGACAGATGGGATTGTTCGACGTCAACGCGCTTCCAAGCTATTCACTACCAAGTACCCTTTCGTTGACCAACCAACAAGCGCTGGCACAAGTCCATCCACAATCCAACCAATATCAATCGCCTTTTTGAGGATGAGCACGAGGTATAGGGAAGAACTAGGGTCATGTAGTTGAGGAAGCGGCGTCATTACAATGACGCTGCGAATAACAAAACCTAATATCAGCGCAAGGCTACAGGCCAGAGATTACAAGAATTGCGCTACTATATTGTTTTGTATATGCTTAATACGCTGTGACGGCAGTAAGTTGATCACCGTTTGAGTTAGCGTTTGTAGATGCCTTGGCGTGTTTGGTGCCGTAGTTCCGACCGCCACCCCGATCTTTTGCCGGATCAAGAAAATGGGGTGCGTACTGATTATCTAGGAGGAAATTATACACCGGATGTAATCCCAGAGTGTAAAACAGCTTCAGAAAATCATAATGGAGTGAATTTCTTATTTATTTGTCTTTGTCGCAAACGCATGTCGGAGGATCCATTCCAAAGTGGGCTAGCGTCGATTTGCAGATCCCGTTCGCCGTTTTTTTTTCTCTCGCATCTGGCTCGGGGCGATACGTTTGTTAGTTTTTACACTCCATAGCCTTCTCAGTGCTTGGTTTATGTTAGAACAGAGTAATTGCATTGGTCGATAATTTATAGGCCATGTAGCCTGACGTTTTTGAGGCAGTACCCATGGCTGGCATTGATGCAGACGCGAGAATGATATCGCATTAGAATCGAGTGGGTTGACGCACGGCGGTAGGGCGCGCATCTCATGCCAGAAATAAATACTGTGGCCGGTAATTTGAACTAGATTTGGTCTAGTGTCCCGCTGCGCGCCAGGACATCCGATCCGGGCCGCCCCTGTCGGCACGGATCATAATTTTTATATGGTATGCATGGTGCACAGTCCTCTTATGATCTCTTTTTATGTTTCTCCTTGTGAGAAAGTCTACCGATTTTAAGTAGTAGCGCAAATTGGTTGAATATAGATACGAATAAAGCTTCCTTTGCAAGTCAGGAAGCAAGCATTTTAGGGCCACGGCATACAACGGAATCTCGCGCAGTCCATGGTCTTGATTGTATCCCTGTCAGAAGTGCGACATCGAAAATCCAAATTTTGGGTGTACGAAACTCAAATATCACCTAGTTTGGACAAAAAGCGGCCATCTCCGGCAAATCTGGCAAAAGCAGGCCAGAGAAAATGGGACTTTCTCGCCAAAAAAACTGACGCTATTCGCATGCACCAATGCGATTAATTTATTTGATCCACATCTCAGTTGATGAACGGCGGCTAGCGCATGTCATGGGGACATGAGTGGAGCCAAATTTTCTCTGCCCGAGGGGATTACTTGATGACAGACGCGAAATTAAAGGGGTCGCGGATAAAACCATCCAAGTGATGAAATCGATGGCAACCATGCAAATCACGGAAATGATCTACCATGTGTGGGTCCAGGATCATTGCCGAGGATATCCCCAACGGTGATCGTGATCCGACCCGGAAGCTACTGAGATTTCCCCGGACGAACCGCATAGCTTTCCTTCCATCCAAATCAATCTATGTAGGTCGGGAAGAGCCTTGTAGTACTTCAGATTATCAGTCTTCCAAAGGGACCGGGCCGTTCTCCAATCTACCACCGAATATGCTGTCTCCTGTGAAAACCTTGATTTACTGGGTGTCGGTCCAATACGGGGCACTCACAAGCGACGTGGTTCTGGAACAGAATTTGCCTCGAGGGCGAGAAGTAATACCCGAGTAAATTCTATTATGCAACGTCGTCTATGATTCGAGGCCAAATAGATTTAATGGACAAACGATCAGTACACGGAATAATGAAGACTTTGGGTCGGTTGGTATAATATTCAGCGTCCTTATAGTACTCAACCTGAGTGATGGCAACGCCCGCCTCACTGTGGCATCCCAACTTTGAACCTCTATATCCCTGCCATTACCCTCTCAACCTGTTCCTTCAACACAGCCATATCTTTCCTCACCGTTTCCATAACATCCATGAGTTGTACCACCTTTTGGTGCATTTCGCTGTTCCATAGATTCTGGCTCACGAGGGAGTCCTCAACAGACCTGGCGCAAATTAACATGTGAATGCCGTCTTCTTTTCTAGGCGCGTATACTTACTGCACTCGCACATCCAATCTAGAAGAAAAGTTAGCAATCAGGCCCGAGGAGGATTCCTGGGAGATAATTCGAGACACTCACTCTGCCATGCACTCGATCATTGTCGACGTCGAGTCTCTGGGGTATTCAGGGTTTGAAGGCTCAACATATGGGTGTTCATGCTCGACTGCACTTTCACTTCCGAGAGTGGGTTGCTCATGGGCATCCTCTTCATCACTGCATTCATCCATTGAGGTATCATTGCCTTCATCGTCAGAGTGTATATCAACAGAGCCAGTAGTTGAGTTTGACGGGCTGCAGATATTGCTCGCCTCAGGCGAGCCCGATGAAAATATTTCAGACAATCGGTCTGAGTATCTCTGAGAGATACTATTAGGCAGAGCCCTTTGAATGCCCATTGTCGCTGTGATTATATTAGACCAAGTAAAAGGACGTAAATATTTTGAGACAAGGAGTGTAGAGTAAATTCTCTCCCCAATGAGAGAAATGCTCTTTTAAAGGTTCAAGTCAAAAGAATACCCAGATAAATCTCGTCATGGGTGCCACCCATTGTCCCTCAGAGAAGTACAGTATGAGTGGATACATCCTGACAGACTTGTCCCCGAGTGTGCATCAAATGAAAAGGAAAAAAAAAAAAAAAAAAAAGAATTTGAGGAAGGAGAGGGCGGAAGAGGGAAGATTCTGGTAACATCAGGAAGTGAAGTAACCCCAGAGTAGGGCCTACGCTTTCCTAAACCTATTTTAGCAGTATTATCAATAAATTTAATCCAGATCTACACGCAGGGTGATGTCGGTGGAGCGTTGGAGATTGGAAGGATTCGTACTTTTGACTGGACTACATCCGAAGTTTGACCGTTTTTGAACTCAAATGACAAATAACCTCACTCGGGAATTGAGCACGTTGTCAACGGGTGAGATATTATGACACAATAGCCTCACAAAACTGCTGATCTTTTCCGCCAACATGAACAACCCGGTCAACTTGGTCAGCCTGGTCAACCTGGTCAATCATGCGTTATGCATTAGCGGGTCTTGCCCCGGTAACTCAATTCTTACAGCTCTTTCTTGCTTCCGCACTAGATATGATTTCCTCAATTTTTTTTTACTGCCCTTTAACCGGGTTGAGACACAATTTGACTGGCGGAGAACTACAGAATAGCACCGGATGCAATTTATTTATAAGCGAATGACCACCCTCAAGCTCGACCAGTTTCTTTCAACCACGTCCACTGTACACGGTGCCGATACAGTTCCTCTTCCCTTCTTTTGCAGAGGCGTGTCTTTCTCAAGATGTCAAAGCCCAACACCATTGCTTGGTCTTCATGGGAGAAAAAGAACCTGTTTTCATGGCTGCTTCAGCGCCAAAAGATGACATGGAAGGCAAAATCCAAGGCATACTTCAAGCAATTTGGGTTGAAACGGACAGGCGAGGCATTGCGAAGCAAACGGAACTACCTATTACGGAAACGTCGCGCTATGCTGAAAAGTATGTCTAAGGCCTCCTTCACGGGGCATCGGCCATGGATCCCACGCGAAGATACCCCGAGGGCCTTTCCGCCGCCTCCTCCAATCTTCACGCCCAGAGCTCGCAGCACAGAGGCTTGCCGTTTATCCCACATGAGGCAGAGCTTGGCAGCCTCCACTAGCCGCTACGCCAGAGGAGCCCTGGGGAGCGCAGGCCAGGCCCTACCTGGTAAGTTGAAGCGGCAGCTCGGTTGGCGGCATCAGAAGGGCTAATAATTTGCTAGGTTATACCATTCGAATGCCACACAATTTGAAATCCGATCACGGGCAAGACATTTCTTATCTCTGGAAATTCGTACATCTTGCGGCAACTACCAGCAAAGCGTCACGCAATGCTGCAATCTGATGGATTGTCAACATTCATTCCTGCTGTACAAACGGAGATTTCCACCCACCAAGACTTGATGTGTGCGTCTGTGTATGGAATTTTGGTTAAATCTACCGACTGAGACCGATATCCAGTGCACTGTATTATTAACACGCAAAATCTGCTACTTTGAATTTTTCTGATATTGCCTTTCTTGTATAGAAATATCTCGGAAGCATACAGTATTAGGTTCCAAATAGACGTCGCGATTCCGGTCTCGCCAAATAATTTACAATGTACGGTGTAGCGCTAGAATTGGATATAAAGCAACAGGTCTGATTTCTAGTAATTCAATAAACCGATGCGAGATCGAGGTATGTACAGCTGCGCACAGGGCACCCGCGATTCCATGGTTCGTGCCGGGAGCCCCACTATCTATTTTTCTTAGCGACGTGCCAGCCTTCCCGGAGTAAACTACGACTCGGAAGGTCAAATGCATGTGGGACTGCCTTGGCCGTGTCGGTTTTGAACGGGTTTAAACGGTTTTTTGCTTTGGTGGTGCCCAATTTACTTCGGATCGGACTATATTTATAATTCTATGACCTAAACCGTAGCATTTATTGATCAAACCAGAGAGTAGGTTAAGTTTTTGAGTCAATGATGCACCATACTATGGAAGTGCTTCATTCCTTTTAAAGTCACAGGGGGCGTGCTCGCTTCCTACGCTTTGGATCACTCTGAACGGTGGAAACCCCATTGACCTTACACAGCTCATTGAGACGGGCTCTCATAGTTTCCTGTGACTCCTCTAACTCCTGTATCCTGTCTTTCAGTACCGTGGTTTCGCTCAATAATGTCGCATTCTCGGCCAGCATGTCGGCAAAGCCATTCTGCTGGATATCGCTGATGGAATTCTCGATCTTCCTATTCCGAATCAGCAGGGTCCCGATCGTCATCCGCAAAGTAGCGTTGCCGGATCAAGTGAGGTCATAGAACTCACCTGACGCGTGTGGTCATACTGTCAACAGAGCAATTAGCACGGTCAATCCAGCCATTATAAGATGATAACTTACTCCGAGTCCTGGAGGGATGCCTTTTGTGCTAGAGCAGACTTTAGTTGCGATGAGTAGCTGGGCATTTCTTGCAGCGGAGGCTGGGGCTTGTGGCGGGACGAAGCCGCTTCTTGCGGATTTTGCTCTTGCTGTGGAGACATCAATTCAGCAAAGCGGGAAGCGTAGCCGTTGGGTTGTATAGTAGATGACCGGTGGCGCGAACTAGTCATTTACGAGAAAAAGAGCTGGAGAAGAAGGACCGCGAAGGGGAGAGGGGACGTGCGAGTAAGAAGGGGAAAGAGAAAGGTGGAGGGAAAGATCTTTTTTATACCTATGGCAGACTACATTACACGAGATAACGGCACGGATTAGTGCCTGTATTTTCTGCGGTTACTTGTTATCAAATGAATTGACTATGCGTAACGGAACGTTATAGGCCAACCAGGCTACTAATTTATTGAATGTTCATTAGCCTTGAGATTCCACCCATCACGATCCCGAAGTTACCACTTGTTAAAGAGTTCAATACGCTTCGCGAAAAGAGAAAAAAAGGCAGTGCACTAGTTGCAGGTGCCCCTCAGAAATATATCATACTGTAAATGTGGAGCATGTCTGCTGGCTTTATTAGCGCTGCGTCATTGGCACTTGCTGGATACCGTAACATTGTTAGATAAAAGAGCACATCCGCACCTATTCTCTCACGCTCCCTCCATTGAGTGCCATGAGAATCTTGTGCTCCCTCCGTTGAGTGCCATGAGAATCTTGTGCTCCCTCCGTTGAGTGCCATGAGAATCTTGTGCTCCCTCCATTGAGTGCCACGAGAATCTTGTGCTCCCTCCGTTGAGTGCCATGAGAATCTTGTGCTCCCTCCATCGAGTGCCACGAGAATCTTGTGCTCCCTCCATCGAGTGCCACGAGAATCTTGTGCTCCCTCCATTGAGTGCCATGAGAATCTTGTGCTCCCTCCATCGAGTGCCACGAGAATCTTGTGCTCCTTCCATCGAGTGCCATGAGAATCTTGTGCTCCCTCCATTGAGTGCCACGAGGATCTCATGCTCCCTCCATTGAGTGCCACGAGGATCTCATGCTCCCTCCATCGAGTGCCACGAGAATCTTGTGCTCCCTCCGTTGAGTGCCATGAGAATCTCATGCTCCCTCCATCGAGTGCCACGAGAATCTTGTGCTCCCTCCGTTGAGTGCCATGAGAATCTTGTGCTCTCTCCATTGAGTGCCGCGAGAATCTCATGCTCCCTCTTGAATCCTGTGGGTATCCTGCGCTCCTTCAGACTCGAAGGAAGCGAATCATATACTCCCCCTAGCGACGTGCAGACACCTCTTCGTGGTGCTAGGGATTATTACTCAATCATCATAAGTTGATTATTGAGGAAGCTAAGAACTGCACAACATCTGTGAATTTGCGTCCTCTCTCGGTCTGCCTTCAGACCTCGGGCTTCCTACATAAAATTTGCTTGCTTTATTTGTAGCTACAGTACAGAAGCGCTCGAAATTTCCACCACTTTGTTCTTTTTTATTGCTTTCCAATCTACTCTATTTTTATTATTTTTATTGACGCTAGTCGTAATATAGTTAGTAAATATATGTTTCCCTTTTCCTACTCGACAATCATGAATGAGCTAGGCCAGATAAAGGCCGAACTGGGTCTTGCCAAGATTTTGAAAAAGAACCAACGAGGACAAAATGTTGAAACTGGATGTCGAGCGGACCGGCAATCTCACTTATGACAAGAGCCCTAGTATAATAATAGTCTGCGAAATTCACATTAGATGGTCCTGTTTGCCAGTATTTCTAATTGATGATATTATTTTCCTTCGCTTTCGAATTGATTTTCAAAGAAGGGATCTACCAATGTGGAATGATAGACGTATCACCTAGGAATCAGGAGTTATGGTTCTATAAAGCTGTAGTCACTTGCAGACCAAGGATCAAATTCAGTGAGAAAATTTCGATCTCAGTTCTATTCCAAGTGGTAGTGAATGGTTAAGAAGAGTGGTTAAGAAGAGTGGTTAAGAAGAGTGGTTAAGAAGAGTGGTTAAGAAGAGTGGTTAAGAAGA